TATGCCATATTTAATCATCCAATTTGTTGCAGCAATCAATCTTTTCTTTCATTGAATAAGTAACAACCAATTATGTTCACTTGCTCGGCGAAGGCTAGCCGCTTGGTCAACTTGAACGCCCCTAATGGGTGCGTTTAGCAGAAAAAATTAATCAGTTAGCGCTTAGTGATTCTTTAATATGATTGGTTTTTGCCTTTAGGTCTTCGCTAAATCTAAGTGTAGGATCGAATCGTATTAAAGAGCCATTGACTCTCGGTATATTCTCGATGCACCGCTGGATGCGGCAGTCAGCCGCAGATACTATTACGTTAAAAATAGATATTCACCGCGGTCAAAGTATGCGTTAACCTCAATGGGTTCGATTATGCGAGCTTGCTTCTTGGTGGAATTTCAAACGCGCGGCTGCACGTCGATCGCGTTTGAGCGCGGCCGACATTCTGATTCGCCGAAAATTATTTTGACGTCCAGTTGAATTACATGCCGCGTGCTCGAACTGGTTGGCAATTGAATAATAATTACGATAATTGAAACGACAATAGCATTTGCTGCGACATACTAATGCGTGATGAAATGTATTTATAGTGAATTTACATACTGACTCGAAGCTTAAACATCTTGTGCGGTGAATTATCACGCTTAAATTCCCGACGATTAAAATTACAGCGCTACATTTAACTTCGTGCCGGATGATTCCAAATTACGTTATTTGTATGAGCGTTTCCGCGCTGTTTAGACCACAGGGAATGATGAAAAGAGAGAGAGAGAGAGAGAGAGAGAGAGTTGAAAGCTCAATTCGTTGTTCAATTTCACGAGCGTGGAAACCGCCTCGCTAACAAAATGTTAACGGTGACAAATAGCATACCTCGACACGCGAGACGCAATGCTAATAGAAATTTATAATAGCGAGTATTTTGCACGGGGAACAACGATCATTGTCATTAATATATCTACGCTCTCTCGAGGGAGGAAGAGTGAAAGAGAAATCTTGGAGAGAGAGCACGAGGTGGAGTCGTCCGCTGCCGCGCGCGCTTTGCTCCTTTCTACTGGTAAAAGTAATCGATCGCCGCCGCCTGCAGACTCGCGCAGCACGCTTGCAGCTCTGCACTCCGGGCTGCATAAGAGTAGGCGTCGGCGTCGGCGTCCCGCGTCGTATTTACGCCACTGCGGCATTGGCCTTAAGTGACGTCTACGATGAGATTTTTAAGCGTTAAATTTAAGCCTCAAACCTTAAAAAATCGATCAATCATAGTCCATTATCCTTCTCACACTATATGATTGATTAATTTCTTATAACATAAAGAAATATCATTCTGTTGCTAAGAAAAGTGATTATTCAATTAATTTTCTTCTAAATAATGGTTATTTTTTATAAAGAATATTTTCTTGATAATAATCTTAAATGTAACTCAAAAGAAGAATTTATTTTCTTGTGAAGAATATTATAAAATTGAAGAAGCGAATTTGTAATAAGCAATTCTAATTTATTTTAATTTAATAATTTTGATTGAAATATAAATTTTAGAAATATTTCAAATAATTAATTATTGTTCATAGTACGTATTTTTCTGTATGGCTTAAGTTTTACGTCTGAAAAATTCATATAGATACCGCTTTAAGGACATCTCATTCCAGCATTTATATTTTTTCTCTTGATATTAAGACCCCTGCTCTGTTATTTTTAATGACGGTGGTGTTATACTGTCATTTTTTATCACATAAAATTTATGCATCAACAAAATATAATAACATTAACACTGTCGTCAAGAAATGTTTATGAAATAAGGGTTTTAATATATCGTTGGCTATTTTCATTATTAGCTATTTTCCAGCAAGAAATGTCACTTATGTCTCGTTGGAAAATCTTTTATTTCAGAGTTAATTAAAATTTCAACATCTCAAATCTTAAGGCTGCTATTTGATAGATTCGAATCGTTAGATATTATCAAAAATATCTCTCAGAGATACCGACGCCGCGTGATAATAATAGTTATACGCGGAAAAACTCTTTTGCTAAAGTATCTAAAAATTTAACGTATCAATCTAAAAATAATTTTATTGTATTATCAAAATAATTATGTAGGACGCTCAAGTTTGTTCATAGAATAAATTAAAACTTTTTGCAGCATTACTTATATTTAAATTTCCTACATAATTATTTTAAAAGTTCAACAAAATTATGTTCAGATCTGCATCTAGCAAAATTTTTAGATATTTCAGTAAATCGTTCTTTCCGTTTGAATTCTTCGCAATGATAAATTTAATGACAGAGAATGTAGGTGTCAGTATCGTTGAAAAGTCTTTGGGAGCGGTAAAGACGAGACATCGCTCGGTTACCATAGAATTTAATAATTATGTGCATTCGATCGCGAATGTAAGTTTAATGTCCGATCATAAATTCGCTGACAACCTTCGCCGCGCGAATAAACGCGAAAGCCGCTGCCCGGACTCGCCTCTAATGAATGATGGAAGGCGCAATTTCGAACACCTGATAACACCTTTGTTCTCTATCGCTACGAGCGCGCGATAACGACAAGGTCAGGGAATATATTGCCGTGACGGCAATCACGATATCCACGTTTACGATCCCGGAGCGCTTATCCCAGGGAGAGAACGCTCTTTGTACATACATTATGTCAGGAATCTCGCGAAGGTTTACTGCACCTTGATTGCACGTCCGCTTTCGTAACGGCTGCGCGTTCGTGTCGGGTAAGAAATTCTTCGGAGGAAAAATTCCACTCAGAGTTCTCGTAAGGACTTAAAAAATATGAGAGAAAGAGAGAGACGCATCGTAGGATGTAGGACCATCAGTTACGTCAGCAGGTATCTGGGCCACTAGTTTAAAGGGTGAAGGCCCTTTTTGGCGTAATCCCAAAGCGAGAGGATCGTCGAGGGGACGGTCAGCCACCTCGGTTGCAATGGCGCGCGTTTCCACGCGATGAAGGCGAAGGGCCTTTGAATGAGCTACGGGCAAACGGCCGCTAATAGCATTTTGACGAGCCACTCGTACAACATATATGACCCCGGTTAGGTGTTGTATGACGACGCGACGGTTAGGTTACGCCGGTCTGCAGGCGGCATGCGTTCTACGGGTTGCAAGAGGGGCCCTTGTTCTGGCTCTTTAGTTGATTGGTCATTCCGGCGGGAGAGTCAGTGACTCATTCTGACTCGGGCCTGCATTCTGCCTCACCAGCGAGAGTGTGTGCTCGCCCCGTTTCGAACTAGCGCTCACTTACGCCCGCATAACATGGACTACGCCTCTCCGCAGCCCTGTCGTCTACTCCCGATACTTATCGTCGTAGAACGAGTTAGCGCCCAGGGCCGTGACCGACGAAAGACCCTGAAAATTTTATTGGAACAGTCGTATTTTTTATTTCCTTTTTCGTTCTTTAACTTTTAAGGTTTAGGTGATCACAACACCTCACGTATAGTTATCTTAAAAACCTAATTGCTTTGAAAAAGGAAGATAAAAAGTATTGCCCAGGAGTCTCACAGTTCATTACTTTTACATTCTTCTATTTCATAAGGGTATAAATAATCGTATATACTATTAAAAAATATAATTATAAAGATGAAATTTCTCTCTCTTTGGGTTGTCTTGAATATTTTATTTATACTGTTAAATTCGTAATGTCAAATTATACTCAATTTGAATTATTTTTAATCATTTCTATAACTAGGTCGCTACTGTTTGTATTCAATATGTCGTTAATTTAACTAAAATAATAGAGTTAAATAACTCAACTCAAAGATGTGTTGATTCAAATTTAGTTTGTTATTTATGCACCAAATGTATATGTTAATATGAACATTGTTTGCTTTGAAACTAATCATAGAAATGAATTGATTTACATTTTGACATATATTGAAGCTTGAAAATAACAAAATGCCATTTAACTCATGAGATTAATGCTCCTTCAGCGAAAGTATTTAAAGATTAAAAATGTTAAAATAGAGTTCAGCTCTTTAAATTTTCTAAAATTTCATGTCTCTTTTCCGCTATTTCTATCTTAATCATAATCCAAATTTATAAATATTGATACGAGGTATCTCGCTATTGGATGTTTTAAAGTTGAAATAGTTTTGTGACGAGATTTTCGCGGAGAAGGGTGACAGGTTCTGAACCAAAATTGCAAAATTGCGAGGAATCCTTTCCTTTAACATGCCGTCTTTCCCAGAACGTTCCACGCTCCGTTCCTTCTTTCGGAGTCTCGATAAAGCCTCGCTATTACGGGCCTGAGGGTCCCATATGCCTTCGCCGCGTCGAGGCAGTCGTGCCGTCGTTTCTTGGGCCAGTGGCAGCGATTCCTCGCCCGTGTACGATCGAGAGACGTGCTCCGATCGTCGCTACGAAACGCACGTGTTTCTTCAAACCGCGTAATCATCAAATTCGCGTGTTCGTTATCAGAGCACACCTCGATTCATATCTGCCGTTGCTAATGGATTTTTAATTCCGCGCTATCGATATATCGTGGACTGCGGAGGTGGAAACGAGGTGACTGACGCTTTATCGAATTTGCGTCGTTTGTTGTCGTCAATGCCGAGAATAACACTGATAAAAGGAATTATTAAATACATCGAGCCGTTTTGAAACGGAAACGGACGTATGAATCATTATCGATGACACGAAACTCGATAGCGGCTTTTTTCTCTGTCACGGAAACAGGGAAAGCTCTGTATTACGCGTCGAGTCCTCGGAGAGCATCCGGGAAAACGCGCGTGGCTGAGAAACGCGGAAGTCGCGCTCGTAAAGTGGTCGTGGAATATTCGAAGTGCACGTCCCAAGAATATGCGCAGGCAGTGCCGAGGATAGATGAATTCCTCGCTCCAACGTCTGCGTAGCATTAAATAAGAGAAACGAGTGAACGATGTTCTAAAGACGTGACGTGATATTTCCTTTCGAAGACGAGGAGGAGAACTCAAGAATTGTCAACGCTCCTCGCGAAACAGCTCGAGGGCTGAAACTGTATCAACTGGTGGAAACGAAATTGTATCCGGCGTTGCGGTTTGAATTGTGTGCGATGATTTAGGAAAGTGCGCGGCGCGTTTGTACGAGCACCATCGCGAAAATACAATTGCCTGAGGAGGCTAAGGAGCAACGAGATCGCGATCGACAAAAATCATTCACAATGGTTCACACGAGTTACGCACAGTGGGCTTGTTTGCCGAGCACGTACCGGAAAAAGGTATTGTACGCTTATCCCTACGTGCTTCGACTTGCGCACACTAAAAGAAAAGATTAGCTGCTGCAGCAAATTAGGTGGTAAGATATGGCATAGCGTTTTTAATTGGTTGCAGTCAATTTTTGGTTGCGTTAGACTATCTGCAATGTCAGTATAAAATTTCGATAGGCTAACGCAATCAAAAATTGGTGCTATCCAAAAACTGCTGCTATCAATTAAAAATGTTATGTTATATTCAGTCAATCTTTTCTTTCAGTACACATGCCGAAGAAGCGCGTTAACCTTTCATGGACACACTTCAAAAAATCTATACGATGGTTACTTTGGATTTAAAAAAAAAATCGTAAACATATTGTTAACTTCGGAAAAATAAATATTTAATATAAATATATTTTTTAATTTAAAAAATTATAATTTTTAGTTTGGAATATTATCAATTTAACAACGTGTCCATACATGTAAATCATATGAGTATATAGGTTCTACTAAATCGGTAAAACAGACTTCAGTTCGTCTTCTAAAGGCATAAAACTTAAGGTACAGTTTCACAATTCATGGTTAACTGAGATTCAACTTATTCATTATTTCTTCCCAATCCTAGAATTGAAACTGAGTCTAAGTCTTAAACCGTAAGAAACTGACCAATCATAATCAATTATTCTTCTCACATTCAACTGTGACTGATCAATTTTTTACTACTTGGTACTTAAAGCTTAAAATATACGCCTTACAACAATAAAATATTTTATTGTAAACGCCGCTCTAAAGAAAATAGATGAAATACTTGTCGTTCGCAACACACAAGAATAATTCAGAATGAAACGGATTTGGCGCTGAGCGAATCTTTGAAAAGGATTCCTGAGAACAGTTCTATAGATAAAAACCGATCATTTATCTCGCGAATGTCTGACACAGTTCCCTTTTTTCCCTTTATCTCGGGACCTCTCGTTTATGACGAATATCGCGAATAGTTTCCGCGGAGTGAGACTCTCGCCCAGCCGGCGGGGATTACGTTCCTTCGCGAAAGGTGCCTCCAATTCCGTAACAATCGTAACTCAAGCGAGCGCTCGAGGCTTTAATTGCCGAGCGAACGCCGAGGCCTTCTCTCTCAATCGAGAGCTCTGTGGCTCGCGGCGCTACTCGGGAAGCAGTATTTATCGGCGAATGTAGGATATAATCATCCAATGCGCAAAAAGGTCGAATGGCGACGATTAATAGGCAGAGAACGACGTTGAGATTAGCGAAAGCGAAGTGTGGCGAACGGAAACGCCTGCGATGTCTTTCGCGCATCCCTCGATCTCTTCGTCGATCGGATACTCGAGGCGCGACTAGAAAACGCAAAAATATAATTGATGACGATAACAAATTTTATTAACGTGCAAGATGTAAATTATAAAGATAGTATAAGTTAGATAGGATTGTCACAAAACTGGAAATCAGAGAAACTAGGGAATTAACATGGAAATTGAAAACGGTCGGGGAAGTCGGGGAATTTTGCAAAATTTTCTGGAAAATTAAATTTCTTATCTTTGAAGAAATTTAATATATGTTATGCAATTTTGGAATTCTATCAACTTAACAATTAAAGATGCAAGCAGTGCCAATAACATTAATAGTAATTTATATTGCTATGTTAAATTGATCTCTCAACAAAATATTTTCAAATCTCAGGACGAAAATATGAAAAATTTTAAAATATTATTGAAAGACAGGGAAAATCATGTGTCTGGAAATCAGGGAAAAGGTGTGAAATTTTAGGATGAAAGGTGACAATCCTGTTAGAGCATTCCAAAAGATGGTATCAGTAATACTGTATAATAAAATCAGCTGTTTGTAAGCTTAAATCTTACTATAATTCAGTAATTAACAAATGAAGTCAAATGTACATTTAATAAAATTACAATTACGACAAATGAAAGAAAACTGACGTATATAATAGCGGATAAAGTTCTCACGATTCGTCAGAATACATGCCGGATATAAGTCAAGTTTTTTTCGACCTGGCCGGATAGAATCGGTGTACGTTCTCCATTCCGGAATAGGGTATCGTGAAAGTATATAGCTCTGCAAATATTTGCGCGCACAACGTTTGCTCTGTGCACACGCGCGCACACCTCTGAAAAAAAATATTGATCGAGGCCGCATTCTTTGAGGCAAGGCCATTCGTAAAAGCTTCATTCGCTTATTGTGTTCTCGAATACTTAGGGTCGCGCCGTGTAACGTCAATAGTAATGCAGCTCGAAGAGTGTAACGGGTTGTGGAAAAAGAATGAAATCGCAGAGGTATAAATCTGAATAAATCAAATAAAGCAGAATAGACTAAGACGCCTTTCACGGAGATTGTCATGCCGAGCTCTTTATCTAAGACCAAACTAATCAAGCGAAGGAAAGGTTTTGTCTGCAAATGGTGCACTGAACTCAGAGACAGTATCAGATTGTTAATGAAAACGCGCTGTCGCGATCTTGACTTTATAAATAGATTTGTCGTCATGAAAGAAGTCATCTCTTAACCACAGTTCATCGATAACGTCAGTATTCGATGCAGTGGCTGGCGGTTTCTTTCCTTCAAACGCGAACGCTCTTGTCGCGTGTTCACCCAGTATTATTACCTGGACGAATTGATCTTCCGTTCCAACAACCGCTATTATCCCTGAAGGGGTCTCTCGCAACCCCCCCTCGAGATAATACTTCCATAGAAAGCTGAAGATGAGGTGACCGCATCGGGACCATCGCATTTTCGCATGTTGGCGGCAACGACGTCAGTGAAAGTCACGTACCTCTTGATTGCGGTCTTGTTCGGACCTCCCGCTACGCCAAACCTCTAATTGCGTTACGCAATATATACCGCAGACATCCATTAGAAGCTCTTGCGTTACGTCAAAATGTAACGATTTGATTTGCACGAAGGAAATATCCCCATACAGCGCAGATTATTCCAGTAATATTGCAGCAACATTAGGTGCTTTCCATTTGGTGACACAAATCGACACGATATCGTTCTATCTTTGTTATTTGTGGAATGCAAAAAAAAAATAAAAACGACGTTTGTGTCGAAAGTACTAACAATGCTCTCTGAATTAGTGAATAATCACTGATATCAGTGCCAAGTATGCCACTATGATAATCAGTGAATGAAATATGAAATCCCTAACTTATCTAATCTTTATCATGTGATCTAACTAATCTTATTTTAGTGCATAGAATTCAAAGAATATGGTATTGGAAGATTGAAATTAACGTGCAAATATCAATATTTTAATTATTATTGGGTTGGGGAAAAGTTTCTTTATATCTTTTTTAATTCAAAATTGTATATACAACATCTTTGTCAAAAATAAACGAAATTTAAATTCAAAAAAAGAGTTTTAAAGCTTGAAATCTTTACTTTTGAAAGATTACTATATTTTTTTACTGTGAATTTGGTAATTTTTACATTTAAAAAACTATGAGAAGAAGATGAAAAATTTTCTTTTCATTTTGGGGGTATCTCACGTGTCGAAAAAAAAAACTTTTACAAAACTTTTCGACTACTTATCGTGAAAACTTGAAGCTTTCCTTACAAAATCATTTTTTAAAAATGTTCCTATGATTTTTTGTTCCTGAGTTATTCGCGAGTTAAGTAAAGGAGAAGCATTCTAATTTTGATTGCTCATAACTCCGATAAAAATCATCATATCGCAATTTAAAAAACAGATTCTTAAAGCCGAAACTTTGCTCTAGCGAATGATATAATTGTCACGAAAATTTCGCATTAAATGAAATTTTTGCAAAAAATTTTTTTAAATACGATGAAACTTTTTCCTCGACCCAATATAATACTCAAACGTTCTTCCTTTTTTAGTCGAACTTCACTGATTATCCAGTGCCAATTTATGCCTATCCTAATTAATGACTATCCACTGATGCAGATTTAGGTCCAGTTTTACAACTCATGGTTAACTCTTAACTGAAATTTAATTTATTTTTCATCTCTTTCCAATTCTAACATTAGAAAGAGATGAAATAAGTTAAACTTCGGTCAAGAGTTAATCATGAATTGTGTGTTAACCGAACTGGGCCTTAGAGAGTGTTGTTGTAAGCTCCTATGCTGTATGAGTAGCTGCACGACACGTCGAAATCGAAGGATCTTTTCAAAAGATGACTTTATCAGAAGAAAAGTTATCGGCCTGGAGCCCGGGGTGATGATAAAGTAGAAGAAAGATGAGAGCTATTGTCTGCGCATTTGGGATGTCTCAGCCTCCGTGCGACGACTTCATGCAGCTTTTAATGTCGAAAGTTACGACAGGTCGAAAATGCTACAATACATTGATGTTTATCGACAAGAGGAGCCGCAGGCTAAAGCGAGTTTTGAATCACCGTGGAACTATGGCGTGTATCAGAAAACTTGGGAGATGACGGGCGGTATTTGAACTCTGACCACCCAGGTTGGGTCCGAGCTGTTATCCGCTACACCAGAGGTTCTCAAATTATGGGATTCATTTGCTGAAGGGCGACATTCTTTCCAGAAGAATTTAAAGATATAAGGATGTATCCAGACAAACAACATAAATGTATAACATAAATGTGCATAAAGAAAATTATCCAATTGCATTTTACGTGCGTTTTTATAATAGAAATGCGATTGCATAATTTTCTTTATGCATATGTTAATGCAATGTACAGATTTGTCTGGACAGACCCTAAAGATCATGCGATTTATTCGTCATCACGTATTCGATTGAATTTCACGATTAGATCATTGATCTCGAATGACAATGGTTGATAGGTTTTTCTTATACACTCTGCATGTATCTGTATTTATCGTTGCGAGTAGGATTCTACTACAGTCTTTCTTTTTGCGAACGTCCATTGCACTGTGGCTGACATCGCAGATGATTCAAGTGAGGCTTCTTTGTAAACGGACGAGAGTACAAGACACAAGAGGTACGCAAGAAACTTGGGTAGTAACCAACGCCTCTCGGTTTACGATTAATTTAATAATAAGAGCGGCGATTGTGGCTAATT